CCCAAACAACAAAACTTATCCACCTGCTCTATCACTTCCCCAGTTAGAATAAGGCTGGGTGCTGGACCAACCCAGTATTGTAGTAACATTTTACACTATGAAGGTGCAAAACGCATACCGAACATGAGTTCGCTAGCGCTCAAATTATCCAGAAAAGCTTGCAACTTACCTGGATCTTCACTTAGTAGCACAATGTCATTTGTTTACTCTAGATCAGACAGTCTGTCACCTGGGTGTAAATCGAAACCGCTATCCTTGAACGAGGATAGGGCTGTTTCAATAATTAAATCTTTGGCAAAGTTAAGTAGAAAAGGAAAGAGAGGGCAACCCTGTCGAACACCACTTTCCGTGGTGAACTCGGGTGAAAAAGTGCCATAAGCTCGAACTCGGCTCCGGCTATTATTGTAAAGGAGTTGTAATATTGAAATAAACTTCTCGGGCACTCCCTTCAGGGAAAGGCAGCGCTAGAGTTTAGAGCGGTTGACTAAGTCGGAAGCGTAGGGAGGGAGGCACTGAATGCTTAGCAAGGAAAAGCGAAGCTGGGTAAAAGGTAGGGCGATAGAAACAAAGCGCACATGCTTAGTTAAGTTATACAAATACAAACACAAATAGAAAAAAATGGATGGGCTTTACACACAGCGGTCGTGATTACATTTCACAAATCGAGTCTCTTCATTATGATCTGGTAAATCAAATGGAGGGAAACAAGTACTGAAAAATATTCCCGACTTAAGCCAAGTCCATTGCCATTATACTCACATTAGAGCAGATGTTTTCTCTTGATTTGTTTGATCCNCCAGTTTAAATTCAAGTTACTGCAAACCAACAGCATGTTTTAGGATGTTACTTATTTAATTTACCTACTTGAACAGCAATCAGTAGTATACTTCGCTTTTTGTAAATCTCACAGGAGCGATTACCCGAAGATCCCCATATTCTCCGAATTGTTGGAGATATAATGCATATTATGATAATACAAAGAACTGGGTGATATTTAGGTTTCAATACATAGACTCCAAAACGAATCTATAAGTGAATCACGAACAGCTCAGTGGAAAATATTCAAGCAACTGCTTTGGACAACACTTGGACGAAAGACAATGAAACGGCTGCGTTTTCTTTCTTACCACTTCTCGTCCATTGTTCAAATTACGGGTCTAAAACCAGTGGAAAAAATCACATATCTNAAAGCGGAAGCAGGACACAATGTATACGGAATACCAAACATACGTAAGACGTGAACTTCGTTTTCTCCACCAATCAATTAGACGGATGTTGGCAGTGTTGGCAAGAACTGATATCAATGCATTTCATTTTCACCAAGGTACTTTAAAATAGCAAGATATACTAATGTGATATAAATTGGATTGAAGTCGGATATCTTGAATCAGTCACCTTTGTAACATTGATTCGGGAAATCCCCAGGGTGTGCTGGTGGACTCTTCAAACAAATCAAATTATGAATTTCTTTTCATGTGTAATCGCCCGTCGAATTAAACCTGTATCTGTCTAAAATGAATACCCCAAGAAACGTGTGCGTGTGAAATCCGTATTTCAATATGGTATGTTGACTCGGATACCGTGATCCAGAGGGCAGCCTATCTGTTCCCACTCACTATTCTCAGTTCGTATCTT